TTCGTCAGCGCCAAATAGTTTCGTCAGGCATCATTATCGTACATTCTGACCTTAAAACTGACAATATTTTAGTGGATAAGCATTTAACATTAAAGATTTCTGACTTTGGTTTGAGCACTACAAAAGAGGCGTTAGGCCTTGGAGATATGGCTGGAGGTAAGTAAATTATTTGATATTTTCTATAAGAATATCTTATAATAAAATTTTTTAATTTCATTAGGAACTCCTAAATGGAGAGCACCTGAACGTTTTGCTTATAATCCCAAACTATATCAAAAGTTCATTGAAAATCCAGAATTTTCAAAGCTACTTAAAAACGAAGAATTAGCAAACCATTACAAAAATCGGCCACAGCATTCGGGTAATTTTCAAATCATTACATTTACATCGCATGGCTTTAAATCTATTGACAACTATTAGATTTTAGCATCTAATATTAATTCATTGTTTCTTTGCTCAAATAAATGATTTCATTTACGCAGACATTTATAGTTACGGATTAGTTGTGTGGCAAATCGCGACAAACGGCATGAAGTATGTTTATTTGAATTATTAAATACTTTGAATATAACTAACGATTTGTAATTTTCATACAATATATAGCTTATATCCCAACATAATCTCTCTTGAGAGTCAAGATGCGTGAAGATATTAATGATTTAGTCGGGATTCTCGAACAAAAAGATACTCCGGGTAAAATAAAACATGTTATCAAGAAATGTTGTGAATTTGATCCAATCAAACGTATTAGCTTTGAGGAAGTTGTTATTGAATTACAAAATAAGTTTAGAAATATAGTATGGAATGATCGTGGAAGATCCCATTTCATTGAGGGTAAACTTCGAGAATCGCTCGATGCATATACGAAATCATTAGATATTGAACCTAAAGGTGCAATGGCATTGTTGGGGCGGGGTGCGACTTATCGCAAGTTGAAAAAATATAAAGAAGCACTTGACGATTATAATAAATCAATATATTATAAACCAAAAAATCCATTTGCATTGAAAGGACGTGGTGCAACTTATCTCTTAATGAAACAATATGAAGAGGCTCTTAAAGATCTTAACGAATCATTAAGACTTGATGAAAATGATGATTTTGCGTTGGGACGGTGTGGTGCAACTTATTGTATGTTGAAAAAATACCAAGAATCACTTGATGATTTAAACAAAGCGCTAGAACTTGAACCTCGTGATGCATATATATTAGGACAACGTGGAACTACCTATTGCATGATGGGCAGATATGATGAATCAATTGTGGATCTTAACAAATCATTAGAAATTGAATCAAATAATGTAGATGTTTTAGGACGACGCGGTACAACTTATCGTATGATGAAAAAATATGCGGAGTCGCTTACAGATTTAAATAAATCATTAGAAAATGAACCAAACAATTCTGATACATTATTTTCACGTGGTACAACTTACTTTGCTATGGAAAGATTTGAAGAATCACTCAAAGATATAAACAAA